AACCCACATTCCTTTGTTAACAGAAAACTTACAAGGGTAGGTATTACTGTATACTGAGAATGTTTTTCTACAAAGTGAAAATTTCGCCCTTCATCAAAATAATACATGTTCGCCCAGTGTTAATAGTGCTCATTCTACTGGATTTTGAAGGTTCAGGAGTTTAAATCAGATGTGGCTTTACATGTATTTCCAGTTCTTGAATCAACCCTAAAATTAACAGATACTAGTTAGATTTGAAGTTAGTTTTTGATATGTGTTTCAGGTGCTGAACTACAACTATCTGTACTCCATCAACGGTTTCCTATTGGTCAACCCTTGGTGGCTTTGTTTTGATTGGTCAATGGGTTGTTTACCTGTCATCAAGTCTCTGATGGATCCCCGGGTTCTGGCTGTATTTGCATTCTGGTTGGTGCTCGGAGGATTGTTATTTGCAGCATTAAATGGTGCCATGGATCGGGAGAAACGGTACTTGAAATCGTGTTATGTCATAGTCCGCAGGAACAGGCATTCAGGATTGACAGATAAATGCAGCCATTGTGATACTAAATTATAAAAGTCATTTGAGTTAACTATCATAGGCCCAGCATGGTTGTTTACAAGACGGATAATTAGATCATTATTCTGATGAATAGTGAAAATATAAGATTATGAAATGCTTTAAGTAAAATGATATTTCAGACAATGTTTCATTGATATCGTTACTCAGATTACATAAAAATAGGCTAGTCTGTTATTTATCACCACTTACTTAGCGCTGCTCCAGAAATAACCATATGGGATGCACTTTTTCTGAGACCCTATACCACTCTTCATATAATATAAATGATGTAATGTCAGGAATGACAGACATATCTGAACTTAACCCCACCACCCATAATATATTAATACATGTGCCTCCCACCTCCCCCATAGATTTTATTATGGAATAGTCCTTATCCTTTTCGGTTCTATTGGAGCATATTTTCTTCATTAGGTTGATAGGTATATATAACCCTTTCATCAAGGCAACCAGGGTTCAATACCCCGATCGGACGTGAAAAGGTATGGGGTCACCTACCCCATCACATGGGTTTTCTCCAGTTACTCCAGTTTCCTCCCATATATATTTGTCTCTGGTTAAATTTTTGTCTACAGTCAAATATCTTTCTACTGTCGAATATATGTACAGTTATATATCTATCTATGGTCAAATATTTGTCAATGGTCAATTTTCTGTCTAAGGTCAAATATCTTTCTATGGTCAAATGTTTATCTATGGTCAATTATCTGTCTATGATCAATTATCTGTCTATGGTCAAATGTTTATCAATGGGCAATTGTACATTGCAGATGTCTGTCTATGGGTCTGGCCCTGATTGTGGTTCCTTTCCT